TTATAAGAATCACATTATTTGAGTTAAATATGTTATTGTAATGTGTTTGCGTTTATATTACTTATCTATTATGTTGTGTGCATTGTATATAAAATAATGTTATGTATAGTACAAAAAGATAGCTAGTAAGAAGTATTTATTATTTAAAATGTTTTATTTCAGTAATTTGATTTACAATTTAAATTAAAATTAAAATTAAACTAAAATTGTTATCATTACAAATGTTATATAAAACATAAACAATTTTTTACAATTACATTGTTTGTGAATCTTAGACACACTCTTTTGGTTATTTCTCATAAAATACTGTCAACAATTTATATAACTAAAAAGTTCAAAAAATTTGATGATAATATTATTATGCTAATTAGATATATGATTAAATTAATTTTAATTTTGTTCCATGCAAAATCTTAATATTATTTTTTTTTTTTTTTTAGTATTATAATTTGAAGTTCATTATAAAACAATGTTGGTACTCATTGTACCATTTGTATTGTGGAGAATCTTTGTTAGATAATATTTCTAATAATAAGATTAATGCTTATAGACATTATAAAATGTTTTTTTATTGACAGACTCATCCTATGGTGCTTGTATTGTTAATTTTTGTTATTTGGTTTGTCCAAATAGTACTTTGTTTTTTTATTTTCTCTATGTTTTAATCGAAGATAATTAGAATTTTTTATTGTATCAACTGACATAATATTATGTTTTTTAATACCCTTTGTTGGTTTTACTTTTGAAAAGAATGCCATGGGAACTACTATGTACCATCCAGACCCAGAAATGTATAAATTATCCAAATTTAAATGTATAATTTTTTTCCTATTATAGATTATAAGTGAATCTTGAAATGAATAATGATGCATAATTTATTAATAATTTTGTTTTTGTTATGATCCGTATTATATCAATTTAAACAATTTTCTTATGAAATGTACTTACGATATTGAAGTACCTTAATATTAAATGATATTGTTTGATATCAGCACACTTGTTGTATTTTTTTTTTTTTGCAAGGTGTGATATTTAATTAAATAATGATTATTACATTCAGATTTTACATTTATTTTTGTAATCTGATTCAGTGACCATGTTTTCCAAAACAATTAAGTTTTAATACATATTATCAGATGTTATATTTGTGTTTTTTGTATTGTATATATTAAGACTGATAAAATAATGTATATAATATTGTACTTTTGTTTGCTGAGTTTGATTTGATGTGAGGTGGTGTCTGTATAAATCAGATTCATATAATGCTTACTTGGCTGATTGTTGCTCAAAGCATACCACCATCAAATTGAGTTCCTTGAATTTATTATTTTATATAATTTTGTAAATACTTTATGAATTGTATTACATTACATTATACCTATCTAAATTTAATAAATAATTAGAAAAAAGGTATCTTTTCTTAACTATGTGTAATCCTAATTGATTTTACTTTTATGGTATCATAATTATGTAATTGAGTTACTATATTATTATTGTCTAAACATCATATATTATTCCATAATAATTCTGTCTAATTACATTTTGATTTAATATACGTATTTGAAATACTGATTTCTGATTGAGTTATAATTGTTTTTAATAAAACAATAGAATATTAGTACCTACCTCTTAAATATCTCTCGTTTCCATGTGGTGCCACTCAGAGTATTTGCTAGTTACCAAAAACATAATACATTTGTTAATATATATTTAAATATTATATTTAGGCATATAAACCCACTGTAGTGTACCTTAAATTTTTTTTTTTTAAACTAAGAATTTTCAAATAGCACTATCTTCATGGTTGAGCTAATTGCTAAAAACTAATTTAACTAACAATAAAATATTAATAGTAAAAAATAAAACATTTTATAGTCGGTATAATTAAGTCTCCATACATATACATGTACATGTCATATGTATATTTCATACGAAGCAGCTTCCATCAGTCTTTCATTATAGACCATAGATATCCATTATATCAGTATAAAATGATTGTTTAWGAAGTCACACAATGTGTACTATGATGTTTTGATTAGGGTTGACCGATTGTAGGTAGGTAATATTTATTTAATTACTTACTTACACAATAATAAAAACATATTTACACATATTATGCACATATATAAATGTACATATTCGTACAAGCTAAAACAGTGATAAAAAACCAGGTTGATTCAACATGATTCAAAATATTGCAAACATTTTCAAAAAAATTTGAAATACATGAATAATATCTTGTACTAGATACACAGATTAAGCGCACTATATGGTTTCTCTCTTTGACCCGAAATAGCAAATTTACATTTAATAGAACTAAGTCTGTGTTATTAGTTTATTACTAAAGAGTAAATTCACCAGCTATGAAATTTTAAGTTGAGAATCTTACTTGTGTCTCTACATTGGCTATTTTATGTAAGTTATAACTGTGTAAATTATTACAATTTAAAAAAGCTTTTAAATTGTGAAAAAATTAAAATATTGTAGTCGTCGTAGGAATACAGGTAATATTCCTAAGTTAAAGTTTGATAATTGGTGAATTCAATTTGTGACAATAAACATATTCAGGTTTTGAGGTTTTAAAGAATTAACTGAGATTATAACATAGGCGTGCGCAGACTTTGACCGCAGGGGGGCCCCTTAAAAAGGTCCGAACTAAAGATTCTTGTGTGATGATAATTGATTAATTAATAAAATAATAACTTAATCACATTTATATTTTATTTATACTATTAGATTAAAACTGGCTTCACTTTTTTTTTGTAAAATMTAAAAATTTCGCTGTCTAGWATAATRTAMATATCTATGCATTTATTAAAGAAAAAGCCAGAGGCCGCAGAGGGGGCCGCGGCCCACCCGGCCCCTCCTGTGCGCACGCCTATGGATTATAATATTATCTTAGTCTGTGTTTCAAAAAGTGTTTTTAATTTTGATAAAACAAAAAAAATCATGTAAAACTCCTTGCTACAGTAAGTGCACTATAATATACTGCCTTTCATCAAAATCCAGACCATAATCCTTATGTTGTTGCTGTAGGAATGAATCAGTAGCCTATCTATTCTTAAATTATCAATGGTGGATAGTGCACATATTACATAATATTATATAATCTGTGCTTCTACCACAGAGTATAGATTGGTATACCAAGGTATAAATTATTATACAAACAACATGGGATGATTGTAAAGGTCCAGATTTGGTTCAAGTCTGTACAACTTGTTACTTAATTAGGTACCCATAATGTTTTCGAGTATTGTCATTCAATTATTAATATCTATGCCATGGTTATATGAACAGTTTAACCATAATAAATTCTAAACGCTACATTATAACAATTGTCCACCAAAATATCTGACCATAATAAGTACCGATCATGCCTTGTTGTTGTTATTCATATCATAAGGTTTAGGCCGAAAATTTCTTTGAACAGAACAAAATCTGAGTTTAACATACATCTGAATGATTCAACACGTTCTATTTCACTTTGGTGATTGGACAAAATGTGAACTTTGGCGATTTTTCTCTACAAATAATGATACCACACAACCAGCTGCAACTCAAAGCTACAGAAAGGTAAGCACAGATACGATTATTATTTATTTATAAATGAACATAATTAATAGTCGCTTTCTAAATTTTGGCTCTAATTAAAGTGAACTAATGAAAAATAGATAGTTTGAAACTTTTTATAAGCAATACAAGGTTTTATAGATTCACTGAATTATATAAATTATAATTAGGTAAGAAATTAAAAAAAAAATTTTTTTTTTTATTTCCGAGTGGTTATTGAATACGCATTCACAATTAAAGTCAATAATAAATTAAAATATAGTTAACTGTTCAGATTACACTAAATTTGTACCTACTCATTAAATTAGATTGTAATTTTTAAATAAATTTGTCAGGTATTAATTAAATGTATAGACTTATAATGAAATTATTATGCTACCTATATTAGTTATTTTACCTCTTGTAAGCTTTTTTAACTMGTGGTGATAATGTGATACTGAAGAAATGCATTTTTTGTTAGGTAATTTAAACATAATATGTGAAGGCTTTATTTTTTATGAAATTATATTTTCAATATATATTAAACATACCTATATACTTTTATATACTTATAATAAAAAAGTTAATAAGTACCTACTACCTACCTATTCCAAAGTCAAAATTTAGATAACTTTAGGTTATTTTACAGCTGGGAATGAATTGAATACTATACATAAACTAAATGTACATTAAATAAACTAAAGTTGGTACCTATTTTAATATTTTATTTTGCACAAATATTAGACCCAATTTTGTATTATTTACATTTACAGSTAAAGAATTTTATTGAATGCATTTTTTTAATAAAATTTATAATATTAAATATTTTTAATTTAGACTATTTTGATAAAGGTTTTTATAGAAATAAAAATAAAAACAGTGACAAATTTAATTGCATTTAAAATCAATTGATTTTTTGAATGTTGAATGTTATATTATATTGCATAAAATATACATAATTTAGTGACGAATACATTAATGAAAATCTAATGAATAAAACAGTTTTGTTCTGATTTACAAATTAAATACATAATAGGTACTACCATAAATCATTAAATGATCATAATATTAAATTCAAAAGTAAGTGTATAACAAAGTACTATAGTCTAAAACAGGGGTCGGCAAGTAATTTTTAATGGAGTCCGGGTGATTAAAATATTAAATAAATGAGGTCTAATAAAAGCAATTTTTAGCAAATCTTTATATTTTTATAATAATTATATGAAGACAAAAAATTTTAAGAGCCATGTTAACAGTCTAGTTTTCTGGCTTCCTCTGGCCACTTWGGACCGCTATCCGCCAATTGCCGACCGTTAATCTAAAAATTATAGCAAGAAATAATATTAGCTTTGTATATTATATTATACTCTATAGTCTTTACTATAATATGCACAATATACGACAGTTAATATGYATCAGTTACACTATTTCAATAGAATGTTAACTTTCGTATACCTAGTACCTATACACATCACACATGTCGCCACTTAAAGTTCCATTAAGGTCTAGAAATCATTTTRAAAAATTTTGAATATCAATAAAAATTGTTGAAAACAATAATTTATACCAATATAACCGATATTTAGTAACTTTTATAATAGGTATACAAATTGATTTAAAATTAAATAATTGTCGGTACTCGTTCAATATGCTATCTACCACACGTTTGATGGTTTAGTATGCTATCGCCTATCTACCGTCATTTTATGTTGGTGAAGTATGATATCAACACATATTTAAGTGTAAATTATCTCACCTTTATTTAATGCAGAATTTCTTCTTTGTCATTTTTTTACACTGTGTAGTCATGTATACGTATTTGAGTATTTCTGATCACTCCGAGAAATGATTCGAACAGGTCTTCGGTTGGTTTTTGTATATCGATTATAAACTATTTTCAAAATATTACACTCCGAATCACGTTTTCGACTATTTTTATAACTTTTTTTAACTCACCACCACAAATTGTTTGGCTTTTAATTTTTATACATGTTTGGTCGATTGGTAGGTAATAAACCGCTTATGCTTAAAAAAATTTCGCACATCTCTTCATTTAGTGTCGATATAAATAACTCATAGTCGACAAACTTATAACAATAATTATTAAATAATAATAAATAAATCACAGTAAAACCACGTATATAATCGACATGACACACAAACATACATTAAACAGGTTTATCATAATATWCTAAATATATCTGTAATAGATATTTGGGTGTACATAGTTTAATATTATATATTATATTTTATATACCTATTAGAAATACAACGAAAATGATTATACCAGTACTCAATTTTTATTTATTTGGTCATCGTTATATCGCCGTTATGTTTTAACACTATCATTTTTCTGATGACCATCACCGAGAAGAGATTAGAGAACCTCAAAACTCATAAGCAAAACAGTTATTACGTTAAAGAATAATATTATTAAATTAAAACAAAATAACTAAAATAGTTTTTCTTTGTATATACATGACTGATTTAAATATATTCTTCTGTAGTTTGTACAAATAAGTGCATTATTTAAATACAAATTTAATACATTTTTTGTTGCTTATTTTCCTAAATATAGTATTGATTAATTCCGCTAAAACGAAAAAGGTATGATTTCCGTTACTGCCAAAATGTATTTTTATGAAAAGATGTTTTTGCCAATTATTAGGGAATTATGTACAAATTTCAAATGTTTTTATCATTATAAATTATAACACATGCAAGAAGATAATAATAATGTCATAGTTGAATAAAGGTACAATTCATTTAAAGTTTTTAAATATTATACAATTGCACATCACATTACCACATATCTATTATATTTAAATTTTTCGATATTTCAAATTAAAATACAAGTAATAATTAAATCAGGGACGGATTGKAATTTTGGACCAGCCCGGGAAAATAACTTTTTARCGGCCCCATGTTTAGATGGTTAACTAATATGTATATTTATAATTATATCAATTCAATACTACTTATTACAATATTATGAATAATCTAAATTTAAAATAAAAACATTTTTATTGTTYAGACTACAGTTCCATGCCGACTTGCATTGTTAAAATTCGTCGTCGTTACCCGCCGACAGGCGACAAAACGAAGACGGAATATCAGATTATTTGTAGATTTACTGTTCACGGAGATTGTTTTATTTTTGATTAGAATTATTGCTATAACTTTAAATTATTATTCAGTTTTTGTTAAATTTATCCTGTTATACAATATAATAATATTATGCGTCATAGACTTTGGTAATATTTATTATTCATATTTTGGTTATTGACTTATTGCTTTCTAGTTTGCAATAATTGATATGTATAAAATTTAAAATCGTATTTATGAAAATCTATAAATTTTAAAATTTAATTTGCGACAGGTTACAGCCGTAGTTTGGTAACGCATGCAGCGGCCCCGTCAACTAGTTAGCACGCGGCCCATCGGGAATTTCCCGATGGCCCAATCCGTCCCTGAATTAAATTGTCTTAAAATATAAATTATAATATAAGTATAGGTCATATTAAATAATTGGTTTTCAAACTTTTTTCGCTGAAAACATCTTTTGACGGAAACGTGAATCGTACCTTTTTCGTTTTTGCGGAAGTGGGTAATTTCCGTCTGGCTGATATCTTTTTTATGTTATTAAGATGCATTGATAAATGAGTGCTATTTTTATTTTTATTTTTTTTACACTGATCAATTTATTTTTCGGGCAATGAGAAATTATGAAATATCTGTTTATTGGAGAATAAACAAAAGTAGTAGGATGCCAGGCATTCGTTGGTGATCAATTAGTATTATTCAAACAAATTGCATGAGACAGCAAAGATGCGATATAATTGCAAGATCTAACTGCAATGACTTCCGTCGCAGCCACACACCGATGGTTTTTTAAGAATATTCCGTGACAATTGATTTTTATGTAATTRCGTAGTGTGACAATATTTTTTTTTCATCTAGGTCGGATATGTGCCTACTCCACGCGACAAATGGTTCTAAAACGAACAAACGTATTTAATAATTCTGACATTTACGTTCAGGCGGTGGGTCATTGTACGACCTGCCACGCTAGGAAACTGCTTCAGATGTTTAAATAATGTATGAAAACTATTTTTGTACTATATTATATTTTCTAAAACAGATATTAATCTGATTCATTTTATTAGTTACATGGATATAGGTATAATATATTATATTACATCCCTAGTCTCATTGGAGATTGCAGCATCAAATTATTACATTTATTAAAAGTTCTATTAAATCAGTAAGACAGTTGGAATGCAATTCAAAAAAATCTAAAAATTGTAATTACCTAAAATAAATGTTCATCAATAATTATATTAATATTCAATGGTATACAAAATTATGCTATAAAATATTATAACTTTTAATGTTTTCAAAATTACAATAATTAAATGAAATAATTATGATTTTTCTGGTTAAGTGTGAACCGCCATAATATATAATATTTTATTATTACATAGTGTAATATAATTAGCTGTATCGCATGTTAAAATGTCCTCMGCAAATAAATATAACAATTTATATTGTTATGACATAGGTATTACAACAACTAAGAACAATGAAATCACGAATGCATCGAATCACATCATGCGTGCGATTTCTAAATAATTTTAAGCGAAAATACTTGTGAAAGAGAAATCGTATCCACTAACGTTTAACGAATAGCCAAATTTTCAGCTGAGCTTGAAGATAAAATAATATAACTATAATATCCCTACACAAATTGGGTCGCGCTATATTTTCTCCTCTCTTCATAACCTTCCAAAAACACACAGCCTTCTCTTTTATAACTATCTATATAACTTAAATTATGATCATTGCCTAAAAAAAATATTCGTCTAAAAATCTTTGTAAAAGAACATTCAAATACATTTTTAGCAGTTACTCATTATCAGTAATTTTTAATAATGCATTTTTTAATCATAACAACATACACACTAAAACTAATATTTTTAACCATACCAATATTACATAATATTCTTTTATTAATATTGTCGTAGAATAATAATTCAAGTACAAATAAAAAATATTTAAGGTAGAATTCACGTAAAAAAGTAAATATGAGCSTCAATTTACCACAATTTCGGTGTACATTAAGAAAAAAAAATTACCTGTTTGATACTTAACCTGTTATTTCCAACATGGGCTATCGAACGATTGAGAACATTATACCTTTTTGGCCGAACGATTGAGAACACTTAAAAATAACAAAGAACTTACCGCTGACCCCAACAAAACCCAAAAAAGGATACGATTAGGGAATTTACGTGCAACGTTGCCATATCATTTATTATTTATCATTTAACAAATATTCTTGAAGAAAATCATATTATGTAATATAAATATTTTTATAAATGAAAAAAATGTAGAATTATAAGGATATGTATTATATATATAAAAAAAAGTAAAACATGTAGAATATTATAAAAATATGTATAAAAAATGTAATAAATATGTAATGAGTTTATGACAAATTAGTTACCTATGAATTAGTTAAAGCGGGATAGTATAAATAGTATAATCCAACATACTCTAGATATTTTAATAAATTATTATAACTTTTATTTGCTACATACCACATATTATATTCATTATGAATATTAATTGATTTTTCCTTTTGTTACCCTATTCTATCGTTGCTATTTTTAACCGTGACTATAATACGAATACTTCGTTGACGTTTGCATATTGCATGTGCGATGACTAAAACGCTTATTGTCATTCTCTCGTATATCTGGTATAAAAGTTACAAATAACATACGGTTAATTCGATAAACGTCCGATGAATATCAATAATCAACTGTATTAATCGTTCAGTCAAAAAGGTATAACGTTCTTAATCGTTCGATAGCCAATTATCGTGCTCAAATTATTGTTCGATTAAATTTGGCTAGGTACGTTGAAAAAAAAAAATATCGAGCGTTCTCAATCGTGTTACCAAAAATAACGTTCTCAATCGTATTTCAACGCCAACATGTCCTTTATAAAAGTGGTTAATTTTATTACCTAGTATTGACCTACATATTGAAATACGTTTAAGCAGGTTATAGCCAGTAGGCAAGTAGGTACCTAATATTTTGTAATTGTATTTTTTGTGATTTCAAAAAATTCCCATAGCTTAGTTTAAAAAAAAACATAAATTATTAAAACGTTATTATTTGTTCTATACTCATTACCTAATAAGCATAATGTACACATAATATAATATTGTATTCAATTTTATTTATAATTTATAAATTGAAAAAAYCCGTAGAAGTCGGTTCCTTTGCTGTRTATAGTAGGTTTCAGGTGTATCTTGTCATTAAGAACTTAACTCTAATGAATTTCAAATAAGACTGAATGCATCTTTCCTGATGTTTTATTTTTAAAACGCTTATAAATAATTTAATAGGTATCTTGGGTATTATACTTGATATCAGCAATGTAATAAAGAAAACATCATATTCTCAATAAATCGTTATATAGGTACTATACATATTTTATATTAGATACTTACTTAATCGATATTTATTTATATTTTATATTGATAATATTTCTGGATTAGGTTCTTTTAAAATATTACATTTATTCGACATATTTAAAAAATTGAATTATATATTTTTATTTAAAATATTGACAGCAAGTCATCTTGTCCTATATWTAATTTATTAATATTAGTATTAAGATGATAAACACCTGTAATATGTGTTGTTTCCGTCTTATTAATATTAAATATAGTCATAACTAGGTATTTTGCTCGGAAGGAACCAAGAAGGCCACAGTAATAAATGAGAAATTAAATTTTCACCATATAAAAAAATTAATTTGGCTGTAGGTAATGCTGTGAAATATCTTTTTTATTTTTTATTTTTATAATAATGGATTTTGAAAAAMACAAGAACTTTTTTTGCATAAGTAATATTTTATAAAAAATAAAAACCGATATTTCACTGATGATTTTCTCAACTATATTGTATATCAATTTGAAATTTTAACTGCCACTACTACACCTTAAATGGACAATGGTTCTATCCCACGCAAAATATATTTTGGAATGTTGTACATTTGGTAGACGGAGACAACGCATTCAAGTGTATCGTCCTCTTAAAAAATTCGACAAAGTGAATTTAATATTTAAACAATTTTTTTCTTCTAAACTTATTTCGTAATACTACATAATAATATTTTTTATTACAAAAAAAAAAWTTATATATAAATAAAAATATATTGAAAATCCTATATAATATCTAATATCCTATACCCACTAATTAATTATGAATTTAGTAATTGACTATCCCAAGTTGTACTATGCAGTGCTTATAAAATAATAATTATTGATGATCCGTATGATCTTTTCTTTAGTGATGAAAATCTAATCTAGGGTTATAGGTAGTGTGATCTTCGTGTTTATGAATTCTGTGATCAATAAATCCATGTTCATGGGCAATGTGATCTTCCTCCATATGGTCTGGGCAATCCCAATCTTCATGCTTGTGGCCTTTATGGTCACCTCTTTCATGGCTCATATGAGTTTTATGATCTTCGTCATTTTTCTTTTCGTGATGAATGTGAGCACTCATGCATTGTTGTATTAAAACAAACATCAATAAACATAATGCAATCTAAACAAAATGTATCAATTACAAAAATATATTTTATGATCTTACCATTAAATATTAAATAAATTTTAATAATCAGAATTTGTTTGGTAAAATATCATTTAATTATTAACATAATATAATCAATATGGATTTTTTTTTAGTTTCATTAAAAATTTATTCTATATCGATTTGAGAAATATGACAAAACTTAAATAATCTGTTACCTCATTTACAATAAATTTTAATCAGTAAAATGTAATGTCATCATATTTTATTAATAATACAATTACCTATTAAAACATTTCATAAAATCACTGTTTCATTAAGCTGAGTAAGTGGACAATTTTTTTTTTAAATTAGTTAAGATAAGTAAAATAGAAAAATTAAAGTTAAATAAACTTGAGTAAATTAAAAGTGACTTTTATTTTCGAAATTCTTTAATTTGCAACTTGCATAAATTAAATTGAAGAAAAATTAATATGACTAGCTTAGAAAATAAGTTTAATTTTATTTTAATTGGGTGAGTTTTTATAATGTACCTAAGCACAACTATCAAATTTGATAACTTACTTATATACCTACTAAAAATAAAAAATAAATTTCTTTTAAAAATAGTTCATTTATGAGAGATTGTCAGAAAAAAAGAGCATCCATTGATAGAATCCTATTAATAGGAAGTATTAATTATTTATAGCTACATTTTTTAAGAGATAACCGACCATGGCATCAACGTTTCTTTAAATATTTAACTGAGCTGTTTGGTATTTTTATTGTTTGAAGACAGTGAATAATGTGTTTGAATGAGATTGTAATTTTCTACAGAAATTTAAATTAAAATCTATTTATATATGTTATGTTAATTTCTATCAAAATCCAGAAATAGTAAATTCAGCACTTCAACAGTCAACTATATTATTGTACATATGTAATTACATACTAACCTATATCTAACATAAAAGTATGATTTAAATTATTTTTATCTCCTAATATAAATTTATGGAGTTAATATGAGGGGAAATTTAACTTAACGTGACAATACAATATTAATAAACTGATGAATGATAAGCAAGTCTGGGTAAGTTAATGATAATTTTTAATTCARTTAAATTATGTTGATAGAAAACAATTTAAAAAGTTTAAAATTAATAATTGTTCTATTTTAAGTTATAAGTTTTATGGAAACTTACAAATAACTTATAGGTACATTTTAGTATTTTTTTAAATTAATATGAAATAGTATGTATTATTATATTATCATTAATATTAATTATTACTATAATTATAAATGTCTGTGATATGGTATAGTACCTATGTACTCGTATGTATTTACTATTTAATTAAGTTATTTTTATTGACAAATCCTGGTTTAAGCTTCAAGAATTAAATTTGATAAAATATATTATTTAGTTATTTACAGACTTGGAATTGAATGAATCTACCTTGATATTTATTATGTTTATAGGTATCAATTTAAATCAATTAAGAGGACGTAATACCAGCATGTGTTGTCTCCGCCTTACTGGTACGTAATATGGTAAATTTTACGCTCGGCAGATCATGTTTAGCTCCGTTAATTCAAAAACTAGAGTGAATTGACCTCTTATAAAATTTAAAGATAAGAATATTATTTAGACGATCTCATAGGATTTTTACCATATTTTATTTTTGAAGCGAGTTATAATATGTATTTTTAAATTTGTAAATTTTTTATACATCTTAAATAATTAGAAATCTTAAAATTAAAATATAGTAAAAAGCCTATGAGAGTGTCCAAATAATATTCTTACTTTTAAATTTTATACCAGGTCAATTTACTCTAATTTCTAAACTAACGGAGCTAAACGTGATCTGCTAAAAGTAAAATTTGCTATGTTACGCAATTGTAAAACAACACAATATGCAGGTATCGCGTCCTCTTTTAAGTTAAAAATTAAWTAAATTAAAATTWAATTTAATCAGGCTTGATGATTAGTAATTAATGACTATAAATCATGGAAAACAATTGTATAACTTAAGTTATAAGTTACTATAAAAGGTTTAAAAATAGGTAGTAAATCATTATGTAACTTATTTAAAAGCAACTTTATGTACCTATGTTAACATATTAACTCGCCAGCGTCCAATTTTGCTATTTTAAATATTTAAAGTGTTAAAATAATTTTAAAGATTTTACCTACTCATAATATTATGTCATATTATTCTGTACTATATAGGCGTATCTACTGCTACTGTGTTCCTAATGAAGTCAATAAATTAATATACCTAAGAAATAATTCATTCCTATATTCTTAAACAACTGACTATTAAATAAACAAAAAAATGTATTAACAATTATTAGATTTTTGATCTAATAATTTTTCTTAACTGAATGGTAGATAGGTACTTACTGAAAATTTCATGATGTTGAGTATAAATGAACGTGTTTAGCAAAAAAAAGTATTGGAAATAATCAGTATTGTTACAACTCTTTCTAAAAACTGTGAATAAAATGTCAGAATACCTCTATTTAAATACAGTGTTTGAAGTGATAAAAAATTATCTATATTATTATTTTGTTGATAAAAAATGAAAGGTGAACTTTTATATTTTTTGAGATTGGTTTAAATGAACTAATTTATATATATTTTTTCTTTACTTAATCTCATAATATAGGGTGTAACAAAGAGGTCAGACTTATTATTAAAAAAAGAAAATTCACACCAATCAAACGTGAGAATGAAAAAAATTATGAAAATTATAACGATAATAAATAGTTGTAAGGTTTATCTATAACTGAAAATTTCTAAAATGAAGATTTTGAAAAAGTTATTAAGTTTTGAATAAATTTATTCCAAAAATATTGGCTTTTAGATATAATATAAAAAACAAAATATCTGTCTTTAATTGATAAAGTTTTTTATCAAGAGTTTCTAAGAAAAAAAATTTAAAAATTGARTCTYACCCACTCACCCGTAACCKTGTTTTTATAAATTAAATTACTTTATTACTATTAAAATAAAAAGTCAGCACAATAAGGGTTTTCTAATTAGGAATGAAAAAAAAATCTAACATTTACAAATAAAATTCTAAAATGTTTATTTTGTCAATAATTCAAACTTWAGAACAAGATTTTGAAGTATTGAAATTTTCTAATCACAAGTTACAAAGAAAATTAAACCTATATTTTGAAATTAAAACCATAGGTTACTTATATTGAGATTACTCGAAAAAATCACAAAGCTTGTAAGTTAGGTAAGTTGCATGTAACAAATTTTATTTCATATCTATTAGTCATCACTTAATTTTTAAGAAAATAAACATTAAATTAATTATACGTAGCATACTAGTAGTATGCTTCTACTAAATAGGAACATTGAAGAATGATAGTTATCTTTTAGTTTCTGAACGAAATTAACCATATTTTTAACTGTATTCTAACCATAACATTTAAAAACAATTTTGAGTTTTTATAGGCTTCGGAGATCATCGATTTTATTCAGTTTTTAAGAAAAATAAATTACGGTAAAATAATTTACGAATCTATACATTGGTTACCCATAAGATTCCTTACGCATTAAACAAAAAAATTCAGTTTATCTCAAGGTCAGAATAATTTTTTACGAGCGTTAGAAACTAAGCATTAGATATTAGCCCATAAATTAACAAATTATCATTAACTATTAACCATTTTTTATTTTATTATAATTCAAAAACGGATAATTGTWGATATTTGAAATTTACACTTAATATTGGTTTTATAATTTTCTATTCAAGATACAATTTTCAAAATATTCCAACTCGTTTTGAACTATTTACAGACATMTGCAATTTGAAGTTTGTTTAAATTTGTTTACTATGAATGTCAATAAAAAGTTATTAGTTGTGGCGAAATCCCCAACAATTGCTTAGAGTTCAGTCTATAAGATAAAATTCTTATACAATCTTTTTTTTACAACATAATATACGGGGTGATTCTTTTATCAAACAACACTTATATGGTGGTTGTATGTAAATACCACCTAACATACACCTATAACACACAAATACCACCCAAAACCACCCAACTTTGGGAGGCTATATCTTGTAAACGGATTAACGAAAAATAAAAATTTAAACGTGAAATTCATTGCAAAAAATAGCATTTTTAGTTTATGAAATTTTAAGTATAGGTTGTCATTTGAAAATCAAAAGTTGATAATGATTAACCTGATAAATATAAGGGTAAAAATATTTAAAAAATATAGTTATATATATAGTTAATTATATAGTTCTAGAACAAGATGGTTCTAAAATTTTAAAAAGTCAATAATTTTTAAAATAATGAGTGTTGTTTGGTAAAAGAATCACCCTGTATAGGTAGGTACATTGAGTGATATTTTTTAATATAATTTATGTTTTATTTCCAACGTATCAATTGACTGAGTGATGAGATAATAATTAATAGTACATCATATTTATATGTGTCATCCATACTAGAGATTGATTGATTGATTCAAATTTTTTTTTATCTTCAACAATAAATCAGGAAAAAAATACAATAAAATATTCAGAATTAGAAAATTTTYGTATTTAAGATTTTTGAAAAAAACGTTGATCTCAATAGTACACTTTACACACATACGACAGCATATTTTCGTTCACCAGTTACAATACTATGCTGTTAGTTTTGATATCAGAGAGAATGGATCTAAGTATTTTTYAATTTCAGGTAAGATTATTATATATAAGACTCTTAATCAAATACGGAATCAAAGCTTCCAAATCGACTTATAAAACAGTTTTAGTTCAGTTCACCAATTGATTTCCGGTGAAAACTGGTCTGGTCAACTTTTTTTTTAAATAGTTTTTAACGTGAGAATAATATTACATAACATAATAAATTATTAAATTATATTAAAATAAATTCCTTTTTCTCCGGTCACATTGGGAAAAAACACGTCCTACCCATAATATTATTATACATACAGATCCCAATAGGTATCGCGGTTTAAGCTATTTATTTACCAATTATTTCGTTATGTATGTTCAGCCCGCCCGCTAGCTGTTTATTAATTATTATATTATATATTAATTATTTTTTTATATACCTACATATCATAGTGACTGAGATGTGCACGTCATCCGCATTCCACACCAYCATAATATTATTATTATTGTTATTATATTACATAGTCGAGCGTCTCTCACCGCTTTCGTTCTTTAAAAACCAGTTTTCTGGCTGTTACCGTTGTAAATTTCTTCGACCTGTTTATACCACTACCCATAATCCAATTCATATGATATTTACGACCATTATTATAAGCGGACGATTTAGAAGGTCAACCGGTTGGACGTGGATCGCTGCACCGGCCACAATAATGTTGTTGTCCGCACAGACTGCAGCAGATACCAGATAGGTACCTAAAATAATATTTCTAACGACCGTAGTGTAGATTCAAGTCCACAACGTAATACTATCATTATATTATAGTATTTTTATACTGTTTCGGKCCCGGTAGACATTCCATTTCAAAATTTCATATCGTATATCATAAACATACGTAGTCCTTTCATATTTTCATCCCCCACTAATAATTACTATAATAATGATATACGTATGTAATTAATAAGGATACATAATAAATAATAAATAATAAYAATTAATAAGGATACTCACGTCGAGTTTAACGATAATTATATGTCCAATATGGACACACTTATGGTTACTAGGTATAAAATATCTTATATAATAAATTAATGATACATATTTTATAAAATTCAACGATACCATAAACGACGTAATAAAATCTTGTAATTTTAAGGTAAGTATTGTTTGATACTTATTTTTATTTTGCATTTTCCAACTTTTTTATAATTTAGGTAATTTTTACTMATTTCCCACTAATTTAATTTTCAAACCATTATTTTTAATTTTGTAGGTCATATTTGTCATTTTTATATCATATTTGCATTTATTTAAATCATTTTTTAATTGTTCTATAAGTTTATCAATTTCCGAGCTCTACTTATAAGTTATAACTCATAAACTATTCGTCCTAATTTCGATTTTTATCGTTATTTTTTAGAACTTTGTTGTCATTAAAAAAAAAATTAAAAAATATTTCTAAACATGTACCTATATATACTTTTAAAGAAAAATTGTCTTATAACGACTAAAAACCATAAAAAAATTTTTTCAAAGAATTTTCRTTATAATGTGTGGTCAACGATAAAAAAATAATCATCTGRTATACCCACTATCAGTGGCGTAGCCAGAAATCTCTCAAGGGAGGGGCCCACCAGATATAACACCAAAATCATACGTTTTAGTATAATATTATATTTTATCGGCAATTAAACAGCAACTGAAACTGAGCAACGCGTGTGCGGTATCGAACGGTTCCAGAGAAACAGTCTAGTCTAGAATCTATATACAATAATCCATTATCGATTTTATCTTTTGCTATTTATATTTTACTGGGTATCGCAAAATAATGCGAATTAACAATTTACTATTTTTATTTTGGTTTTCATATCAAATCATTATTTAATCATACATTATAAAGTATTAAAGTATAATACAAGTGTCGATTACTGAGTAGTATTGTGTTATACTATTATAATATGTACTACACAAGCCAAGGGGGGGGCGGGCCCCTATGGGCCCTCCCTAAATACGTCACTGCCCACTATATTATTAAGTTTGATCGTGTGTTTGTGTACACAGTATATATATTATTATAGGAACCTCAGCTAGAATGTATCGTTTATATGGATTCGAAATAATGTACAGCAAATGTGTATGTTTGCAAAAACGAAGAGYCCAGTGCACCATAATGTGTGGTGCTATGTATTATATAMTTATCCTGTCTGAAATGTATATTGTTAATATTTCTTGTATACACTATACAATGATTATATACATTATATTATATACATATAGGCACACACATAGTAAAGTATAATATGATATCAATGTTTCACGACATTTGCACGCCAAATGACTTGCACAGCTCTTCGTAGACTACGTAGCCAATGGACGTGCAAGGTAATATTTTGATGACACTGCCGGTTATGCCTCTGTAAAGGAGTAGGCCACTGCGGAAGTTCTTAGCCGAGAACAGCCGCCGCCGGTCCCATTTATCTGACGGTAACGTTCCATCCGAGTGTCCTGCACATACAAGCACACACTTTAAATATAGTAAAAATGTATAAAATGATCTGTTGATTAATTTGTAGTTTATAGGCGTGCGTAGACTTTGACCGCAGAGGGGGACGCTTAAAAAATTTTCAAAGATTATTGTACTAATGAATACTAGTACAATTAAATATTTCATTATTAATTTTATAAAGTATTTATTTAATTAAATAGGTATACAAATATAAAAATGAATACAAATAAAATATAAAGGTATTAAAATACATAATAATAATAATACATAATTATAATAAAAATAAATAATAATAATAATTTGAAACTGAAACAGCATATAGTTTTAGCATTTATTAAAGAAAAAGCCTGAAGCCACATGGGGCCGTGGCCCCCCACCCCCGTGAGCACGTCTATGTTGTAGTTTATTTGCAGGGAACGATTGTCATGTCAGCTAAACATGTGATGGCTACAGTACTCAAACTGTAGAATGCTCAGCTTTTTCAAAATAGGGAGGGATATGAATTTTTTAATTTTCTGAGACTACGTTATTTGTACAATAATTGATTTATCATATATTTTATATGACAAATATAAGCCAGCGGTAACTTGTGAGCACAACCCTTGATTCAAGCATAGATTAAACCCTAGAGGCCCATGAGCTGCAAAAATACAATACTATTCTTATCCTTGCCGGGCTACGTAATTTTATGATTCCTCACTTTAAAGGAATAGTATCAACATTATTATTACTATCATTGATTAATTTATGAATTAGAAGTATGTATGTAAATTGCAAAATTAATCGATGGTATTAATCGTATTACTTTCGTATTTGATTTAAAGGAAAATATTAAAACACTACTTTTTTGAAACATAATAATTAATTTAATAGTTTGAACACCTGATTATTGTCTAGGGTAGAAGGTACTTACATATAAAATTACCTATACAATAGGTAACACCACAGAAGACAAAAATAATAACTTAAAAAATGTATAAGTATTTATTTGTTTATATTATAAATATAAAATATATAATACAACCGTACAACTTATACTACTTAAATTAAACAATATAATTTAAATAAACTGAATTACACGTATATGAATATTAAACATATTAGGTAAATAGGTATATTAATGTTTATTAATTTAATAATTTAATTAATAAAAGATATCGATGTTTAATATTTGTTTTAAAACATTAAGAAATTTAAAAATACTAAGTTAGATTCAGAAGCTTATAATCATTACATTTTTGATTCAGATAATATTACTTTATTATATTATATAATAAAGTAATATTACATACTATATAATTTATATAGTAATATAGTATTATGATACTAATAACGGTATATATACTTATACCTAGACATTTTGTTTCCCATTACCTAAATATTTATTAATTTTAAATACTTTCAAACTTACCTATGCGTTTATGTGTATTAGTGTATTATTGTATTTATGTGATATTTTGTATTATAATTAAGTATTTGCTTTTACCAAATTGATTAAAATTATATGAATGTTAGATAATATTTCACCAAATTTTTAACCAAGCATGRCCCCATTTTACCTTTTAATTTATTCAAATTATACGATTTTAAACTCTTAGGTACAGATTATATTTAATGATCATATAGTTAAAGAGGTATTTATAATTTTTATACTATGATAATGAGATTTTCTACGGAATACCAATTTCTTTTTTCAAATAAGAATCATCATTTTTCTGATAAATGGTTGATAAAATTACTTTTCTAGAAATTTGTATGCATCTTAACCCTAAATCGATACCCGAACAAGTGATTTGTAATTTATTTAACTTTATGTAGGAACTAAAATTAATAGGTAAGTATGGGTGATTTGAAAATTCTATGATACATCATAAATATTAATTATAGACATTTTATAATTTAAAAAATATTAGAATGAAGGTAATAAATACTATGAAGATTTTAATAATTTAGGAATAATGCATTCAATCCTTATAATACAGTATATATTTTGTTTTATTTGGTTTGTCTTAAAATGTAATGTTTTACTCTAAAACACCCCTTACTTCAATATTTTAAGCTTATAAAAAAATATAAGCCTTTTACATGTTATGTAGGAATATCCCGTTGTATACATATAATATTTACTATCTATAATACTATATTACTATTATCGTTAAAAGCATTTCATGAAAACAGTGACGGCACTACTACGTATTTCGGGGTCCCAGGCAATATTGTTGGCGAGGCCCTTATTTTTATTATCTTCATGCCATAAAATTATGAAAAACAAAAAAGTTAACATGGGAGCCCACTGACCACGAGACACCGGGCATTTGCACGGAGTTCTCTCCCCTAGCTCTGCCACTGGATGGAAAACAATAGCCTGCTGCACAGTTATCGCAGATATGACGCATTTAATTAATTAGCTTTTTCGTTCAAAATTGAGAAAATAAATTCGTGATCATGTTGAACAATTTTTTGTTACATATTATATTATAATATAACCTTATATTTTTCAGTAACACAAAACGTCAAATAAAAACAAAAATGGACTGTTATAAGTAGAGGTAGGATTTATATTCTCTTAAAATCCTTAAAATATGATGTTTTTATGTCGCATAAATTAGGCAATATATTCTCTTAATATTCTTTTAAAATACCAGATGTATGATGTTTTATGTCCTTAAATTTGCAAAATATTCTTTTAATATTAAAAAAAATTCGGTTTAAATTTATTTTAGCTAACGAAATAACTTACGTGGTATCGCAATCGATAGGAATACCTGGAGATTAATATTTATTAAAATCCAGAAATTAATTATTTATAAACAGAATTATTTAGTGGACATTATACCTATCAAAGTGCTGATATACGTGAAATATATTTATTATATGCCGATATTACAAAAATATTCTCAAATATTCTCTAACGTGTTAAATATTCTCTAACCCATAAAATAATATGCTTTTTTTATAATTAAATAAATTTAAATATAATTTAAATTTTTTCCTATGAATTCTGCATTTCATGAATCGTAAAAATTTCTCACTCCCACTTAACTGCATAGACTAGAACAAATATGTAAAATTATAAAAATCCGACCTAGTTATAAGTATATAAATCTGTATTCGACGTGTGACCTGTATGATATTATAACAATATAGTATGGTTTAAATCTTAAAATTAAAATCAAATAGCGGTAAGTTTTATCATACTAGAAACGTTCTTCCAATAATTCAGTGTTKTGATTRTAAATTTAGTGAATGTACATTACGAAGTAATGTACTAGGTATGTATAGGTAAGGTACCTTTTAGCTATCCGACAATCCTTGATTAAAGACGTGTCATCGTAGCGGACATAGTGTATACCTGTCTATATGATAATATTTAATCATGAAAAATACGCACAATCACCCGTCGTTCTCTTTTACCATCGCTATATAATATAAAACGCGGTTCATACGTGTCGGGTACGACGCCAAAATTGCGGGAGTAGAGAACGTTTTATGGTATAGTGAATATGACGACAATGACGGTTCTTTATCACTCTCCTCTCTCTCTCTCCGAGCTGATTTCACCTGCACGCATAATACTATTACAATAATAATAATAATAATAATAATAATAATAGTCGTTATGTTTTTTTTTTTACTTCAAACTCTCGAAAAACCGACAATTTCGTACCATCTCTGTGTATAATCATTGTTAGATTCACCTACATTCAGCGCACTATAATAATAATGTAATAATGTGATTAGGTAGTAACGATATTAATATRCATATTGTACATTGACCTTCAGTACGCGAGTGTACACCATTCGTTATCCAACGCGTGATAATATAAAGCGCAATGTAGCCATGTAGGTTGTAGGTATACTGGTCAGTGGTCAACTACTGTATTGTAAAATAATTTTAATTTTTTACACAAAATTACATGATAGTTAACTGCAGCTGGCTGGGTACATGCATTGTATCCAACAATTTCTTGCGGATTGCATCCTAGGTTTGAGGTGATAAGATGTGCGTCCAGAATTTTTTTTTTTGAGTATCTACTACAATTGCGTCTCGTGTATTAAAAATTATATATGATTTTCCCTTCCCATTTTTATACGAAATTGAGGCTTTTCTATAATAATAATAATATTACTACTAAAGGTAGGTTAAAAATATTATATTATGTTTATTATTTATAGGTACAGACTTAAGGCTTAACTGTAATAACAATTACTACTACAGGCAGGTTAAAAATATTATTGTTTCTGTATGTATTTTGTAATTTTAATTATAGTAGAAAATATTACGGTGTTGGTAAAAATTTGAAAAATAACTTTTTTATGGATTCGAATCTACTGATTTGATTTGAAAATAATCTGCCATTGTTTGTTTTACACAATTTTCTTTATTAACTATCGAGGTTGTATGTTTGTTTAAGGGAATGCTACGTTCTTTTATACGAATAGAGTAGGGAATAGTTAAAACTGCAATGCGACAATAATTGAGTTTGTTTACAGGACGTTAAATTCATAAGAGAATTATCATCGCTAAACTAAATGTTTTTATTAAATCTAAATCACTAAAATAATTGATAATAATTAATAATCAATCATTTCATTATAGATATTAGGTACAGGTAACGGGGACGCAATTCGCAGACGACGCCAGACGTGCTCAAGAAAAACCGAGACGCAATTAGTATTATGACTTTTTAATTAGCTTTTATACTTTATTTTTTATACAGGACGTAATTTGTAAGTAGCGRCTGGTCGTGCTTTAGTAAGTACTGCCTACATAGTTTGAAAACCGACAAACATTTTAATATAATACAATGTTAATGATATGTATGATATTATAATATAATAGTTTATTGTTTATGATTATGAGCGTATAACATCTAGGAGAGCTGCTAACCATCCGCATCACACAACTTGTACTAAAATTTTAAACCCGTATAATAGGTAATAAATTATGGGTTTAAAAGTCAACACGTTTTATAAATTTACGCTTTTCTGGAAAATC